GCAACGGGAGATGTTCAGAGTCACCACTTAGCAATCTACATGCTACAGTATGCATGTGACTATGCGCAGAAGTAGGCCACTGTACATACGTGTTTCTATATCGTGTATGTACGTGTATGTTGAAGCATATGGACGCGGGCCAGCAGAAAGTAAGGAATAGAAAGTCATGCTTATTTGCTGCTTAGGCCACATTCCGAAATTTCAGTACAGCTGCACTTAACACACCTCAAATGAAGATCACTGAACAAATATAAATGGAAGCGATCTAACAGTCACATCTTTATGTAATCCTACTGAATAAGCTGAACAAATGTATAATTTCCTTTCACAGTGTTGAGACGCTACTCAGTTCTTAGCGACGGCCTCCTTGATGCATAGACTGCACGCAGTGATCTCCCCACAGCCTCTCGCGCGCTCTGTTATTACAGAACAGTACACAACGCTGGTATATAACGTGATTTTTCCTAATCCAATTATAATGAGAACAGATCCCTTGGTTCGCACACAAAGAGACCTCTTGTCATATTACGCAGGAAGCTGAAGCAGGGGCTTCAGGACAGAAAAATGCACTTCCTTTGTTACAGTTTGTTCTCGAGTTGTAACTCTATACCTACATTGTATCAGCTATTTGCTTATTGACAGAACTCGCAGTCTAGCAATATTACAAGGCCACCAAACTTGAAATAATTATACGAGGCACAGGGAAACAAAAAAATACATGCATTTGTGTGTAAAACTTGATGAAAAAACAGCTCTAGGGATACCTGAACGCGAGAGTGCCTATATTTATTTACGTTTTGTTGTGATTTGTTTATTTTATTTTTATCTTGTTTTGTTCCTGTCAATAAAGAGTTTTATTCTGTGGATTTCGTCATAAAATGAAACTGACAGTGAAGTGGACCTGGGTTGAACTCAGAGCAGAAGTGTGTTAAGACTGATACAACTTTGGGTTACTTACTTACTCATGGAGCTGAGCCCTTCTGGAGGAGCCGCCAATTCTGCAGCTACTCAAGAATTTCCCAGCATTTTATGGAACCCGAAGGTTTATTACTGTGTTCACAAGAGCCCTCCACTGGTCCCTATCCTGAGCCAGATCTATCCAATCCATACCATCCCATCCTATCTCTCTAAGATCCATTCTAATATTGTTCACCCACCTACGCCTTGGTCTTCCCTGTGGTCTCTTTCTTTCTGGCTTTCCCACCAATATCTTATACACATTCCTCGTTTCCCCCATTCGTGCTACATGACCTGCCCACCGCATCCTCCTTGACTTGATCATTCTGATTATACTGGGAGAAGAGTATAAGTTATGAAGCACAACTTTGGGTTCCCTAAGAAAATTAATTTCTTAATCAGTAGCAATTAGATATTCTACTGAGATTAAGAAATTCAATTTTCTTAGTCATTCAGTAAGAAATTAATGAATAATTGAGTCGTTCTGTTGTTGGTGGGTCAACCAAGAGGCAAAATCCAGTCAATTAAAGCTACGAAATTAGAAAGTAAGAACTAAGGACAAAAGGCACACCGAATCTCTGAATCTCAAAAGTTTTTACCAAATCCTGACGTACAAAAGTTACAGTGTTCTGAGACTAAGAATTCCACTATTACGGGAAGCAGGCTATATTATTCTTTAGGGTCTTCATTTCTTTGGACCAATTCAACCGTAAATCCTAAATTCAGTATTAATACCATATTCTTCCTAAAGAAAGGCTCTTCGTAAAATCTACAGATTAAAAAAAAATTATGTTTATTCTTGTGACATTCCAAAAAGTACTACCATAATAATGAGTTAAATGTAGGAATATTATTAGCGAATAATAAAATAAATAATTTCTCTTCATTTTCGACTTAGACAATGAAAATTAGGAATTTGTGTTGAGGCGTATACAATACAGAAATCAAAGGGAAGCGAATTTGAATTCCTGGGAGACGATACGAAATTTCTTCTTCCTTATTAATGTTCCTCTTCTTCCAATCGTGCTCGTTATCAATAATAATATAAAAATATGAAATTTCTACAGTATAAATGTTCAATAAAGACATCAAAATCAAAAGGGCGCAATTACATGCTCTGATGTTCTGAATTAACTTAACATTGCTCAGAATCGCTCAGTGCTGGCTCAACAAGCAGGTCCGTGCGCAGCTGGATGCGCAGTAGTGAGCAGCTCCAACTTCTAAGGTATAACTGTGTCTCCCACCTCACAAGCTGGTCCGCCGGTCGTCTTTTTATTATTAAAACAACGTAGATCATAGCGCTGGGATGTCATTGTGTGGCATATGAGTACTGACGAAACCGAGTTTCGTGAAAATCGGGCAAGTGGTTCAAAATCTCAATTTGCGAGGCCATGCTACACATGATGAACTGTGGGACCTACTCCAGAGACCACTGAAGAACATGAAGAGCTAATATTCAATAGACAACACGTCGTAGGATATAGGCGCCAAAATCTGGGCATTTCAGAGTGAAGATATTTGCAATATAATTGAGGTTAATTCCAAATAATTTAAATAGTGTTATATAATTCTCTTTATGCATGATCAAGTCAAGGAGGATGAGGTGGGCGGGGCATGTAGCACGAATGGTGGAGACGAGGAATGCGTATAGGATATTGGTGGGAAAGCCAGAAGGAAAGAGACCACTGGGAAGACAAAGGCGTAGGTGGGTGGACAATATTAAAACTGATCTTAGAGAGATAGGATGGGATGGTATGAGCTGGACTGATCTGGCTCATGATAGAGACCAGTGGAGCGCTCTTGTGAACATGGTAATGAACCTTCGGGTTCCATAAAATGCTGGGAAATTCTTCAGAAGCTGCAGAATCGGCGGCTCCTCCAGAAGGGCTCAGCTCCATGAGTAAGTAAGAAATTATCTGCAGACACACGCGGGCGACTTAAGGGCGCAGCGACACTACGTGATCTTTGGCGATGAGTTAAAGGAACTAAATAGCTTTCAGAATAAAGAACAGTAAACATAAACAATTTAATTAAGTATAAGTTCATAAATTTAATAACAGAAATATTTGGAATAACGAAATTATTATAAACTCCTTGAAAGTGAAAGCGTTTGAAAATTTCAGAATACGGGTGCATAAGCAAATTTTTTAAACTCGAGGACGTGAAAAATGGTGTGGAACATGAGAAGATGGATCAAAATGTGAGAAATTATGAAGAGATGCTGAAAAACGAAGTTTCCGAAATTTACGAAAATTTTGTACAGTTTTCTGTAGAGGAAATGAATGACCAGCAAAACGCATATTACATCGTGATACAAAAGCCACACGGTTCGGTGGACAGTTTATGACCCTTTCGTACTCTGGAATTAGGCCCACTTGAAATGTTGGTAGCGGAGAACAAATTTAACAGCACCAAACTGGCTCATAGTACGCAGCGTATTCTCTATTGATTCTCCCAACATAACGGCCTTCTGACGGACAGCAGCACAAAAACAATGGCCCTCGGCAATGTCACGCTCATTAGAGTCAGCCTTCTGTGGTAATTACCGCCAACAAATATTATTTATAGCTTAATTAATATATCCAGATTGTCCAATCTGAACCGAAACTTATCGTTCGTCTGTGATTCGTGATTACGTTTCCTCTCTGTCTTTGACAAATAACCCCCAAAATTATATACTCGTATATATACACTATATATAGCCTATGTAACGCGACAAATAAATTCAAGCAGGTCTCGGATTTGGCGAAGAAGTTCAATGGCCAATCTCCTCTACACTTGTAAGTACAATTATCATCTTCTTATCACGTAGACAGACGTTTCTTACAACACTCTTGTAATTACTGCTTCTGAAACAGTGGAAGCCAAACTGAACTGTTCTCGGCAACTTCCAGGACTCAACTAAACGTCTGACCAAGTCAAAGTCCAAGTCACATTGCGACTGACGGTCAGTCAGTCAGTAAGTCTTGGTGTTGAGCCCTATCTCCGGCTCATGAACAGATATTTATTACCGTCTGGCATTTACGGTCTCGTTTTAGTGGACCTCTCTGACGAGAGGACGGGTCTGCTTTTGTATATGCTGCTGGCCCTTGCCAGTACAGCCTTTCTCGGGTCTGAGTCCCTTGGGACTCGCGACCATATTTTACTGTCTCAGATTTGAGATACAAACGATATATCGAGTGAGGATCAAAGAAAATCTGTCCGTGTTCGTGTCACAAACGCTACATCCAGCCAGGTTCAACTAAATATCTGGTACATTGAACCCCCTTAAAGAGGTCTTTTGCGGACCCCTTATGGAACACTTTTCTCAACAGTTTGGTTTTCCCGTTGTCATACAACGCTTCGAACAATTCGTTGTAATCGTGGAAACTCACTGTTAGAATTCCAATGCTGCATTCCATTCCGCTGTCTAGGAAATGCAACGAACGCTGAAATATGCTCCATAGTCCGGGTTCTAGAAAGTATGTCACAATGCATATATAGTCACCTACCGGGGTGTGTGTGACTTATAAGACGGGTTCTGGATTGCATGAATGGATTTATTGATACGTTATTCGCACAACTCCGAACTACAGGCAATAAGGCGCTATCGCTGATGTATACACTTTACAGTTCACCGTTACACACACACACACACTGGTCCTCAGTCTTCACTAGTCGTATCCTGGCAACGTATTTATATAGGTCTCACTGTAACTTCAAATGAAACATGAAGTCTTCTTTTCACAGCCTAATTCCTTTCTTATCATTTCTTCTCAATCGCCTTGGACTGCAATATCCAGAACTCTTGACAACAACTAACTGCTCAAGTCAAAGTCACATTGCGACTGACGGTGAGTCAGTTTTAAATCAATTAATAGGCTTAAAATTGACAGTGTTATAAAATATCCGAATTGATAAATGAGATATTTAATACTTCTTTCTGACAAAACGGCTTAATTAAATATGACAGCTGTAAATTCACGCATTGCCAGCTTCTCAAGAAGGATTGTGCTCCACATATTTTCTTAAGTTACACACAGAACGATGTATTTTTTACTTACCCATAACTGTCATGTTGGAGCTCTGAGCCACAGTTTCAAAATTCGGTGCCTCTGTAGAAACCTCGCATTTATAATTGCCGCTTGTGTTGAACTGAAGGTTGGTCAAGGTCACTCTGTTCATGTCAGAATTCTGCAACTGAAACATAAGCAGAGATATTTTGTTATTGAATCAGTACCTGAGGAGCTTCCATCTGCACGTGGCTTTCACAAAACCGATAGATACACGTATTTTTATTCTTGGTGTTAAGGATAATACTAAATTTCACCAAATTCCATTCAGTCTTATCGGAGAAGAAATATTACGTCAGGGCAGAAATGGAAGAGAGACAAGAACAAGACTTTCATGACGCGTATTTATTTTCTGATCTTCGTCAATTTATCCGTCCGGCCGATCCAATAATTGAAAACCGCAGATACTGAACATATTTCGTTGAGCTAGTTATTTGGATCAAAGGCCGCGCCATAGCTCAAGTGGTTAGTCGCTGGCTTCCCACCGCGGTGGCCCGGGTTCGATCCCGGGTCTGGTTAAGTGGGATTTGTGGTGGACAAAGTGCCACTGGGGCGGGTTTTCTTTGAGTACTTCGGTTTCCCTTGCTAATTTTCATTCCACACATTGCTCCACAATCACCCTCACTCAGCACTTTATGGAACCCGAAGTCTCATTGCCGTGTTCAAAAGAGCCCTCCACTGCTCCCAATCCTGAGCCATATCAATCCAATCCAAACCATTCTATTCTATATCTCTAAGATCCATTTTAATATTGTGCACCCACTTACGTGTTGGTCTTCCTAGTGGTCTTTTTAACTATGGATTTCCCACCAATATCATATATGAATTATTCTCCTTCCGCATTCGTGCTATATGCCCTGACCATCTCATTCTCCTTGTCTAGATAATTCTAATTATACTTGGAGAAGAGTACAAGTTATGAAGCTCCTCATTATTCAGTTTTCTCCAACCTCCTGTCACTTCATCCCTCTTCGGTCCAAATATTCTCCTCAACACCCTGTTCTCAAACACCCTCAGTCTATGTTCCTCCCTTAATGTCAGAGACCAAGTTTCATACCCATACAGAACCAGAGGCAAAATTATAGTTATGTAGGTAGGACTCCTTGGAAGGGGGATCTGCCTGTCGCAAGGCCAGTACCCGTACAGGACAACAAAAATACAGAATAAACGCAGGGAGACATCCATGACTTGGATGGGATTCGAGCTCACGATCCCAGTGTTCGAGCTAGCGAAGACATTTCATGTGTCAGACCGCGGGGCCACTGTGATCGGCAGTCCTCTAGTTTAAGCACACTAAGTGTCTGTTCTGCATGGGTCGCTCTGCGTATACAAGCCACAACCTGACAGTCTTTGTTAAACCGCAATCATATCACATTAACAGCGTTAAGCTTGGTTATGAGAAATTTACATATCTAATCTAGACGGTCTCAAACGTTGGAAAAGATGTATAAATTAACGCCTTTCTTCGCCGTTGGGCTAAGAAGCAACTCATCAGTTTGTCTCAAAAAGCAATTAGGGAAAGGTAGATTAGAGTGCAGAAGCTATCGTGGAGTGCCAACATTTTGCTGATTACTTCCTGTACCAGTCTTCAGTCTGAGTTGCTAAAATTGTTTAGTTTCAATTCCATTTTCGTTTTTGTTTTGTTTTTCCAAAATGATTTCCTTAATCCTCCGATGGTACACAAATGAAGGTGTATAGAAGTACGAAAACCGAGTCTTATTCTTGATAAGCTGTCATTCTCTTAGCTACTCAAGAATTTGCCGACATTTTATGGAACTCAAAGATTCATTACTGTGTTTACAAGAGCCTTCCACTGGTCCGTATCCTGAAGGCAGAAAAATTTATTCCATATCATGCCATCTTATCTCTCTAAGGTCCATTTTAATATTATCATACCAGACATGACTAGGTCTTTGTAGCGCTCTCTTATTTCCGGTTTCCGATCAAAATCACATATGCATTCTTGTTGACCCCCATGCGTACTACATGCCCTGCACATTACATTCTCCTTGACTAGATCATTTTAATTATAACTGGCGAATATTTTAAAATTTATTAAGCTCCTCATTATGTAATTTTCTGCAATCTCCCGTCATTTCACCTCTCTTCGGCCCAAATATTTTCCTCAGCACCCTGTTCTCAAAAATCCTCATTCTATGTTCTTTAACGTCTGAGACCAAGTTTCATACCCATACAAAATCAAAGACAAAATTATAGTTATGTATATTATAACTTTTACGTTTTTAGGCAGCAGACAAGAAGATAGAGTTTCTTATCTGAACGGTAGAAAACATTACCCGAATTCGATTTTCTCTTAATTTCCTCATAATCAGCCCAGTCAAGCAGGGATCCTAATCGGAAGATAATGACAACCTCATCTCCAGAAGTGGTACCATGTTACGGACGTTCACGTTTTGATCGCTCCTCTTCAATGCCACATCTTAAGCTGGGGCCATACGAGCGCATAAAATGCGTCCCTTGTAAAGAACGTACTTTATGACGGTCGTTGCTGAGGTCACCACACAGTTGCAGAATGCGGTGCGTAGTTTCTTGCCTGCAATGGAGCCAGAAGAAAGCATATCATTCGCCTCGCTTCTTTGTTTCTACAACGGACGACACGACGTTCGTTACAACGGACGCATTTGTGCGCTCGTGTGGCTCCAGCCTTAGTGGACAAGGTTAACAACTGAATTCATAACAAATTAGGTATGTCTAAGACCAGTGAGGTATACAGTAGTTGGGCGAGGGATTATTCTACAAGCCGGAAGGTCACGGGTTCGATTCCCGATGAGGTCACTGGATTTTTTCCAATTTACCTAATTCTTCCAGCCTCATTACGGCCCTCGGGCCGACTCAGTATCTAATAGAAACCAGTTCCAGAAATCTTCCTGGGGGTAAAGGGCGGCCGGCGCGTAACGTTGACAACCTCGCTGCCAACTGTGAGCCGACTGTCAAGAAAATATGGGAGCATCGACATCCCAAAAGCCTACTAGTCTCCACGGCCTGTTACAGGGATAGCTTTACGTAAGGCCAGTACTTGATATGTTGCTGGCAACAAATAAGTTTTTAACGTGAACTTAAATATCTATACATAGCCACACTTTCATAAAGCCGTTACGTTTAATGAAAGTACCACGACTAGTACAATGATTCTGAGTACAGTTGCAACTGCAGGGTTTGTTCCTGTCTCCTCAGCTCACGTCTAGTGTTCCACTGGATGCAGATGACAGGCCGCGTTACGGCAGCGAATGTCTGTTGCGCTTGAAATTCATACGTCGCGAGGAAATTGTCTCTGAGGGGACTCATCCTTCAACTCCGAGACCTTTCCGACATGAAATAAAAACAAGTGTCGCTGGAAAGTGGCTTAAGGTAAAGTCGTTGCCTCATAAAAATTATCTTAGTCCAAAAATCCCGTCCAAGTTCATGCTATGGCAATTGATTTTGAAGAAACAGTTATTTCAAATGCGTAAAACTTGAGAGCCTTAAAATTATCATCTTCATTTCAAGCATTTTTATGTGTTTCTTGCTTTCGGGGAGTTATTCGATTCTGAATTTCAAAATTACTGCCCCGTATTCGGGGTTAGCGTGATTAATAGTAAGGGATTCTGGATTTCATGATTCAATTTATTGGTACTTCGTTACAATTACAATCAATTACTCCTCCTGAACAAGGTTTGCCTGACGAATCTCCATGAAGAATGTCTCACTGCGTTGAATGTCTCTGTGTCCGACGATATGGACTAGCTGTATCGACTGAGCCCAACTGGGTAGGTTTTACCTGAAGACGGAGGCAGAATCCAGTCTCCGAAAAGTTGTTTTTTGATAAATTAAGATGACCGATTATGTCCAGAAACATAATGTTAACAGATCTGATCAACGCGTTGCCAGGCAACAGCTCTGTAAACACGGTTTAACATGCAACAATAGATGAGGCTGTTTTCTACGTCGTCCGCGCAGATCAGCGGTGGAACAACGGAGTTATGCAACCAGTTTTTAAGCAACGACTCTGTAAACACAGTTCCGCATAAGCGGTGACGTCAGCAACAATAGAGACGTTTTCCGTTGGGTCTGTGCGTATAAGAGAAGTGTTCGCTGTCATCCAATGACAGAGTTAGCTCAAGGGCAGTTGCGAGTCAGTCGTAAGCTGGAGGAGTAAATCCAGAAGAATTTTTAGTTCCAAGGTTCTAGAATGATTGAAGACGAAATAGCAAGAAGACTTCTTAGTGATTTGAAGTGCTAGTTTCTGTGTTGAGATCCGTTGCCAGGAGACGACTAATGCACGTGCAACGGTGATTGGAAAGTGTGCAAATTAGGGACAGCGCTGTATTTGAGTGTGATAAAGAGAACTTATTAGCAAGGTCCTAATAGATCCAACATCCGAATTGGAACCCGTTATTTTCGTCACGCGTAGCCCCCCAACAAATGACAATAATGTTGCAGTAATGAGCCCTCATCACAAAGTTTTAGAGCTTGCTACTGCTGGTGATAAGCAAGGTAGATATTTCAACTGTCACCGGCTTACTTACGTCGAGCGTGATGCCGGGTGTGGGGAAGGCCTGGCTCTGCGGTTCGTAGTCAGGCGTGTACCGGAAGAACTCGCACTCGTCCTTGTACCACTTGACCGAGTACAGGTTCCTACTCTCCAGGTCGTATTCACAGATCAGAGTCACCGGCTGAAAGACATCAGCTGTGGGCGGCACTTTCAAACTCAGCAATCTCAGACCTCGTGCTCCTGCAGAAAAGGAAATGGAACATTCAGTCACATGACAGTGCCAGCTCTTGTCCGGTTATAACACTTATTTCTTAGTAGGAAAGGTGACGCTGTCCCAATGCTTAACTAATTAAGCAATATGCCATGAAGGCGTATGGGGAGTGGATATGTAGATCCACATTTTCTTGACCTCGGAACTAGGTGGAGGTGTGGTCAGCTTCACGCCCAGGCCACTTTACACCCGGGGAAAGAGCTCTCAGTACCCATTTTGCAGCAGCCTTGGTGGACACCAAAGTCGACCTGGAGGACGTTGAGAAAAGAAACTTCTTGACAATTTCGGGACTGGAACTCCGAACCCTTGGTTGTTCAGTCCGTAGCTAGTCGCTAACCAGGCTTACTTCTTAGTACGGGTCGATTAAAGAATCTGTATGCTTGACACAAAGATGTGTTTGGTTAGTTTTGATGTTCATGTAATAAAATTGATTTTCAGAGTAGAAAAGATTTACAAGTTCGAGACGATGGTACATTAATAAAATATTATGTTCCTGGACATCCTGTTGTCTAAAACCCTGTCGTGTTTTTATTTAAAAACGTAAGTTTCGGAAACAGGATTCTGTCTCCGTATGTCTCCGGAGATAGGGACTAGCTGTATCGACTGAGCCCAACTGCGTAGGTTCTACGTGAAGACGGAGACAGAATCCAGTCTCCGAAATGTTGCGTTTAAATAAAAACTGGACGATGGATAATGTCCGGAAACATAATATTTGTATTCTTAGAGTAGACTTGAACGGAATATATTTCACTATTTACCATGGAACTAGGCAAACTCTGTAAATTACATGGAGACAAATTACTACGAAACAAATACAGAAAGTCGAGTTAGAGACCCCAAAATCTTAGTTACATAGCAAATGTGGCAAGGAAACATCTTTAAAACCCACAGGTTATTCTACTGTATTGAAAACTAACGTGTAAAACTGACAGTGGAGGAATTCAGCTAAATACGAATATGTTCCCGTTCATTCATCTGTATAATACACGATTTAGGAAGAAAGGTATACATGTTTGAGTACCTCGCGTTTGCTTTTGACAGTTTAACACATTCACCTATAATGCAGACAATATGGCGGTGAAGGGCAGTGACTAATAGCCCTTCACATGAATATCAAATTTTAGTTTCACCTGAAGCTGATTTAAGCACGCGTGTTGGCAGACAAATGTATACTCTTCAATCACATAAAAAAAAACAGAAGAAAACGCAATTTGTGACACTAAGCAGAGAGAGGACTTTTTTACGTATTGTTGCGTGCATGATGCGGGGGTTACCTATCAACGGCAGCTTTTTATAGAGTCACTGCCTAGCGACGGGTCTATGCGACACAATATATTAATAAGTAAAGTTCAGGAAAGGCTTCGTTCTGGAAACAGTGACTTCGTAAAAAAATAATTCTTAGGATGTAAGATTTGAGGCTTTCACGGCGGTGACTATGAAGAAAGAAGTCTTCTGGGATTTGGCATCGTGTATGTGTGGTGTTAACCGATGTTTCGGTTTTACCGGTTCTCACGGTCTCTTCGCTTGCGGATTTCTTATATTTTCCCTTCTACCCTGACGATGGAGGCCATACGTTCCTCCGAAACGTCGGTTAACACCACATATACACGGTGCCAAATCCCAGAAGACTGCTTTCTTCAATTCTTAGGATATCTACGATACTTAAAGGCTACATAAACCGTTCGTAAGTCATCATTTGCAGTCAGACTGTAAGCTCTCCACTCTAAAATTCCGATGAACTTCCGCACTTGGCCACTTGCGGAATAACAGCGCAATTACAGAAGCCACACAGCAGTGCCTTAGATTTTACGAATAAAATTCATTCAAACACGTGAATAAATGAAATATACAAATTTCTTCCATTTCATAGCGTATGGCTGGCATTGTGGGTTTGAAGGACGTTCCAAATGAAAGAATGGTGAGGCAATAAAGAGATTTCAGTTAGCCCGAATCACAGAAAATAACTTTATAAGATATCACTAGGCAGCGACACAAAAGAAAATCGGAAAGGACAGGAGATTTAAGACCAAACAAAATGAGTTCCGTTTTGCTCTTTCTTCGACGCAAGAAAAGGCAGTGGGTGGGGGTAGAACTGATCCTGGGGTTCATTCCTTCTTCGTTGACGGGATTGGAATGGAATGAGCCTATCGGTTGACGTCTATAGGAATGGGTTTCCGACAAGGAGTAATTATCTCATCTCGCGCCCAGGGGACGCAGCTGTGCTCCGGTCGGACGGCGTCTCTTTCTAGTGCTAAACTCTTTCAACTCTGCTAATTAAGGGCTCTGTCAAACAAACCAGAAGTTTCGGTGTGACATTAGCTGTTAGCTAGACATCTAGTTGTCTAGTGGCTGTTTCAAAAACACCCAGGACGCTCGATCCGAGACGCACTCTGCCGAAACGTAACACAAGAAATGCAGAAGTTATAACATTCACAGATCCCTTGATTCAAAAACGGTCTACGGTCGACGTAGTGGTGCAGCCTTACCAAGCCCAAAGTTCAGAAATACGAATTTCGGCCCGTACAGAACTTACCCTAATGAGGGATTTCGTGGTTCTTTTCAGTGCTTCCAGTAAAATGCTAGGGCAGTGTCATGCAATAGGTTCTGCAGTTCTTTTCAAATTCTCTTTCAATTCATCATCCGTTACCATGATCCATTTTGGCGCTATATAAAATGTTACGTGTTAGTTAAGAGACACGGTGTTTGGATGGTCAATTGGATTTTAAATGAAGTAAACTATAAATCTACACATTCTACTTCTCACAACAGCACACGCTAAGTGTTCTACGTCTTCGAAAGCCGTTGCCTAGTAACGGTTCTCAACAATGTACATTCCTCTACTTACATCTTTGCAGGCTGGTGATTGTTTCACAGCTGACAGCTTGCAAATACTGTCGACTCTCAACTAGTGACTGAAACGCCTGGCTTGTTCAGTCCACACAATTACTGCTGATTATGGAAAACACGGAAGGCATAAAAAATTGCTAATTGCTTATTAGTAATATGGGAATTCTTATTGGAAACATAAATATAATCCCTGTCAAATAAATCATAAATCGATATAATCCCCGCCCTTCAAAATACCCAACATGTTGTGACTCATATGTGTAATTATACAACGGGTATAGATTAGTGAATAGATTTATTGACAAATTATTGGTCGTAGCTACAAATAACTATAACACTATCGCTGATATCCACACTTTACAAATCACTACATGCTAAGTATCCACCACACTGCAGTGTCTTCATTTGTCGTTTCGTGGTAACGGCTTATAATAATTGAGATTCTTCATCTTCTGTGCTCATGTCGTTGCCCCTGGTTAGCCTTCCACAGCGGAATTGTCAACTTGATCATAGTCCGTATCTTCTCAGCCTCCCTTGCAGATCTGCAACTGACTGGGTAGCCCCAACTGTCTTCCTCAAAACCCCTTTGCACGGGCCGAGTAAAGAACACCGTTTCCAACAACTCTATTGTTGCGTGCGTATTCGTTGCCGCGGGAACGTGTTTACCGATCCGTTGCCTAGAAAAGGCCGCTGTTTATTTGCCTATCTCATGGTCATTGCATAGCAACGGCTGTACATGCTAAATGTTGTTACAATCAACCTCACTGAACCTTGCGGCTCTAAAAAAAAAGCAGCTGAATTTCTTGACTTCCTGAGCTGGTTGCTACTTCACAAGGATTATATTCATTAAGCCACTTATCATTGGCTTAAAACGGGATAATGAAATAAAACTGCATTATTTTCACAAAGTACACTTCCTAGAGATTATAACAGAATTTACTATTGCATAAATTATTGGAAACGTAAGATGCATACTCTGGCAAAATCTTACCATCTCTGATAACTACACAGTAAATATTTTGAAACGGTCTGTACTCCTGGAGGCACGTATCAGTCCTAGCGAACTAAGTGAAAACTTGGATAACACGACGAGACAAAGCGATTTTCTGCATCAACAGTTTCAAAGAAAAACTTTTGTTCATTTAGGGCGTTTCTGTGCTTATTTCTTTGCCTTTCCTTTGGGTAACACGAACTAACAGTTGTAACGTGATCGTCTTGTTGATACAAAGGGGAACCGTGACCACGGAAACTACAAGAAACAAACAATGATTTACTGAATGATTTAAGGTCATGTGATACAAATTATCCCTAAAGAAACACATATTTATTAGTAAGTATATATGAAATTATTTATTTTTCTAGTATTGTCACGAATAACAAAATCGCATTTAACAATGCCCACTTTCTGGGGGATATTTGCAACATTTCATAGATAGAATACAAGCAAAATCAAATTTCTCAAATAATCTGTGATGTGATAAATCAGTCATTCTCAAATGCGGTTAAGTAATCAACACCATTAATATTAAAGTATGGATTTTCTGCTAAGGTAAGGAGGAGGTAAATTTCCTGTGCTTTACTAACTAAGCACTATACCATGAAGGCGTAAATGGTAATGGTTATATACTCGTAGATTCATATTTTCTTGACCTCGGCACTAGTGGAGGTCAGTTGTCAGTTTCACGCTCTGACCGCTTTCCCCCGGGGAAAGAGACCTCTGTACCCATTGAACAAGAGGCCGGGTGGGCCCCAGAGTCGGTCTGGACGTGGAGACGAGAAAATTCTTGACCGACCCCTCGGTCGTTCAGCCCGTAGCCAAATGCTATACAGACTACACTATCCTGGCTCCTGATGAATCTCTGATAGTATTGTTAATATTAAATTAAACAATCATGTTGAATTAGTAACGATGTAGAAATACTGTCTATAAAATAGGAAGAAATGAGCTTAAGTAGGAAGCCCAGAGTTTATGTCCTGCGTCTGATATTGCTGACGCAATGAGATGAAACGCGGGAGTAGAAGGAATCATACAGGCACAGAATTCTTGCTAGGAAATGAGTGAAAGTTACAACTTGGGGATATAATATTGTCACGATATTGTCTATAGACGGGATTTGCATCA